GGATTGCATTCGATCACAGTGTAATATAAAACTTGGTGTTGTCATTTCCACTTCTGACAGAAGAAATGAACGTTGTCTATATACAACAGAAGTTCACAATGCCCAATGTTTACTTTGGTTATAATCAACCACTAAATTATTTTGTGGAAAGTAAAATAAATCGAAGCAAGAAACCCTCTGGATTTCAAAGCAGAAGGCATTTTAGAAAGAAATCAAAACTGATTGTGTTAAATCTCAAGAAAAAACTACATTATGGTAGGATTAAAAAATATGATGTTCAAAACATTAAGGGGAGCAGTTTGTGTTGAAAGCAGGAATAATCTTTTTATTGTTGGAGGTTTTTTTTAAAGCGCTGCAATACTTCTTTTTATATAGAATTGTTTTTGTTTGCAATTAATAGTGTTGGAGGTGGTGCTGACAGTAGCATTTTCAAAAAATAAGTGGCTTTTGTCGATTGCATTACAATATCTTTTTGTTTGGATATTGTTCTGTAAGTTGGAGAGCCATGGTTAAAAGCCTGGTGAATGCATGGAGGTTCTACGGCATGCTGTTATAGAATCGGTTTGTCTGGTGTACTGCATATACACGTTCCGGTATGTAGGTGCTGTAATATACAAAGAGATCTCTCACTGCTTTAATTTCCCTCTGTTAGTGGCAGAACAGTAGCCAAATTTCCCAGTCAGAACTTTGAAAGACCTTTTTTTGCTTTACAAAAGTTAGAAAAATAAACGAAGGTGCATGTGTATCCTGAGGAGTGGATAGTGTCACACCTAGTTACAGAATCAGGCATGTTCCTATTAAAATTGTAAGACATTGTGTTTCCCCTGAGCATTGTGTGCATTCTCTTAAATGAAGAATAGGGTACTCAAGGTAGTAAATACTTTTTTCATAAAGGAAGTACAGCTAAATACAGTACACGTGTGTAGGATCTAAAACCTCTGATTGCAGAGGGATTTATTATTATTATTATTATTATTATTATTATTATTATTATTATTATTATTATAGTGTTATTGCAGTTCTAAAACCAAGTCTTGCAGAGGTTCTACAGAGATACTGGCACTGTTGTTAGTGAGTTGCATGAACAACTGTGATCATGTTGTTATAGCAACTCCTCAGAAACAGCAGACAGAACGCTTAAGATTTATGAAGACTACCTTGGTACAGAATGAATTCTATTATAAGGGCCAGCTGTTTTCTGCATTTGTGCTTGCTTCTGTGTGGATAGTCCTATACTTGTGATTTCACAAGTAAACTCGGGATTTATCTGAATTTTGAGACACCTTGGAAAAAGGTTTTCATCTAATTATAATATTGAAAATGCACTCATGCTTTTTCCATTGTGAAAGAAATTTTAATGTTGGTTTATTTGTGGTTTCAAATAGTTTTTGTTGCCTTACTGTTTCAGGCAAACAGTGAGGTCATCCATATACAGTATTGTTGTTTGTGATGCACAGCTGGTTAAGGGAACATGAACAATTAATTAATTTAGTTCTGCTGAGATTGTACAATTCACTGATGGCTAGGAATGTATTCCCTTAGAATAGTATAGAGTTCACTGTGTGTAGTTGAGTAATAGTTGTAAACACTTTCTTGGTTTTTCCTGGTCCCAAACTCCATTCCTTAGCGACATAAATTCTGGCTTGAGTGTAATAATTGAACCATTCGGCATGATTGTTTGCGATTTTTATTTTGTGGTGTGCAGCCCACTTCATCCTAAAAGAACCTAAAATCCTAAAAGTTAAAACCTTTTGAACGTTTCTTTGGTGCCTTTTGAAATACATTGTAGATTTCCTCCTGTGGCCTGCTTGCGTTTCTCTTGGTGATTGAATCCTGTGTTGAACAGCGCAGGGTTGACACAGACACAAGGGCCTCCCTACAGCAAGCTGAAGGCTCCAGCAGGAGCTGCTTTATGGAAAGGCTCCTGCTTCACTCTTATCTGCAGTTGGCTCCTAGGATGTCTGGTATAAAGTCCAGGCTGACTTGAAATGTAAAAGTGCCTCTAGGTTTTCTTAAATTTGCATTTTAGCAAGACTTTGGTGCTTACAGTGTTCCCGTGTTCATCGAGCTATATGTTTTGCTCTATATTTGTAGGACACAGTATATTTATTTGTCGTCACCCTCCCCTTACAGGTTATCTGTGTATTCCTTGATTTACAGCATGGAGAAATGTTCTTTTCAAGACAATGTGGTCGGTTTTCAAAACCACATCTTGTTTTTGGGGAGAGTGGGGGGGGGTGCTTTTGAAGTTCAGGTTCTTGAAAATTTGAGATTGAGGCAAAATGCACAATTAGGGGTTTTATATATAGGAGAGATTACTTATAAAAAATATTATATAGTATATACAGTATGTTAGAGAATGTATGTTCATTATGGTAAAACAGATTTGGTTTTGTACATTAAATTTGCTCTGAGCTTCTGAATTGTATTAATGCTAGCTATGGTTTTGCTCTATGTCTGAAAGGCAGAGATGATATAATATAATTGAAATAGGACTGGGCTGTGCGGTTGCCCTTTGCCCTCTAATTTTCTATCCCTGCAGACGTCTACAAGCATGCTTTGGCATTGACTGTCAGATAGCAGTGAGGTGGGTGTCTGAGTCCTGGGATCCTTTGGGCTCGGTATGGGTTGAAATGGAGTAGCCTCTTTCTTGGCGGTGTCAAGCCTGGGTGGGGTCAGCTTTACTTCACCAGCTCTGTCATCATTATGACAGGGAGCAGCAGAAATCAGGGTCTTGAAGACTGATGTAAAGAACCTAAAGACACGTGGAAGGTGCCACTGCTGCTGTGCATTTCTTACTCATTGCTATTAAGCGTCATTTCAGCCCTCAGTAATGTTTCATCTCTGTAGGACCCTTTCCTCTGTGAACGCCAGTTACAGACTGTTCTAGGTACAGTAGATCTGACAGGACAAGTGTGGCTCCCAGATTCCTGACTTTGGCTGATGCCTGAATGGGGAAGCCATCCACCATCACTGTGAAGCTCTCCTGCATTTCCAGCTGACTTGCTGCCCACCACTAAAATTTCTGTTTTGTCACTATCTTCAGGAATTTGATGTCAACCAGAGCTTGATGTCACACAGAGAAGAGATGAATGAAGGAGGGGGGAGGTCAGAGGGGGGGTTTAATATAAATCTGAACATCATCTGCAAAACAATGAAACTGAAGACTGTTTGTGTATAATGTGTCCAGGAGAAATTGTATAAATGATAAAGAGCAATGGGCCCTAGACTGAACCCTGTGGCACACCGTGACTGGCTGAGATCATGAGGGATTGATGAGGACCATGGAGACGAGATGCTGCCTGCCAGTCAGATATGAGTGGAACCAGTACCATTGATAGATCTTGAGCAACACTGAATAATTTTGTGTGGGGTGCTATTCTTATTGAATACAGAAACTGCAGGTGTTGTAGCTTTTTTCTTCGACTGTAGCAGGCTTTTATCATCAGTGTTGTTCTGGAATAAATATAGACTTAATTTTGGATCCATAATAGCCACTATTATCCAATCTGTTTGCTCATAAAAAGACTGTTAATAGGAGGACTGATTTTGGGTTTATGTCTTGTGGCGTACAATAAATTACTGGAGAATATTGCCAAGTCTGACTGTTTGCTGTAAATAATACTTTTAAATTATCCTAACTCTGCAATACAAACATGATGTTCCTATGGTGCAGTGCTGTGGCTCTGTGGCTGAGGATCTGCATCTGTGGCTGGAAGGTTGCCAGTTCATATCCCGTGGCCGGCAGAGGAATCCTACTCTGTTGGGCCCCTGAGCAAGGCCCTTAACCCCCAACTGCTCCAGGGGCACCGTATACATGGCTGACCCTGCACTCTGACCCCAAGCTTCTCTCCCTGTCTGTGTGTCTCATGGAGAGCAAGCTGGGGTGTGTGAAAAGACAACTTTCTGATTCAAGAAATTGTATTTTCTGGAATTTCTGGGATGAAGTCATGTCCCACTTTGTTCATTTCTCTCCTGTTTTCTTAGTACAGTTGCAAAGTGTGGGAATTTAAGCTTTTTAGAAATGTTTTAGCTTTTTCATTTATCATACAATATCATGTTGAGCACTATGTGCTTTTTGTGTTATTGCTTTCATTATATTAACTTTGTGTTCACGTCATAAAAAATGTGCTTTTATCTTTGTTGTCTGTCAGTTATTAGCCACCAGCAGTAATTTAATCCTGATATTGGCAATTGTAGGTCCTCCCTGACAAGACGCTTCTGCCATTAGCTTGACCACATATTGATTTAATTCTGTCTTTTATGACATCTAAATGCCACACTCAGTGAGGCATGTAGTGTTCCAGAGCATGATGAAAACAAAAAAATAATAATTGGATGGCCATCACATGATAAATGCCTATCCTTTGGAATATTTAAGGTTTCTTCTTCTTTAATAAACAAAGATACTTAAACAATCATTATGTTGCTTTAAATTGAGCTACTTCTAATATCTGATATACTGTCCTAAGTGGGAAAACGAGCTGTATATTTATTCATATATTGAGTGATGGATGTATTAAAGTTTTGGTATGTGTACTAGAGCCAACACCTTTTCAGAAGCTTCTCTTTTGGTTCTACAGTACCACACGTAATCCGTCGGCCTTTTTTTAAGATCTTAAATTCTGAGTGACAATACATTCAAGTCAGCAGTTTCAAAGTTGATGTTGTCCACTAAAATGCACCATTTATTTTTGTCCAGTTTTAACCATGGTGATGATTCTGTTTTTGCTACATCATTACATAACATCTCCCTTGTTGTGATGCTTGTGATCCATCAGTGTCATGCTGGTTACGGTGATGTTGGTTTTCGAGTGAAATGAGCAGTCAGAATTGTACACGGGCTTCTGCTTTAATCCTAGTATTTTACAAATGGTCAGCTATTTCAAAATGACACGCGGGCCTGTGTTCCAGCGTCGCCAGCCGAGTGCCAGCCTGTGACTCAGTGTAGAATTCCTTCTTTCTCTGGCCAGTGTGACCTGTGATGATGACGACTGAAGTGGGCACTGAGGCGGAGCTGAAGAGGGAGTCGGAGAAGCCCGACGAGCTGCCGGTGACCCCAGAGGAGCAGACGGCGGCCCCAGAAACCCAGCCGCCGGGCGAGGCTGCAGAAGCGCTCGACCCCCCGACACCGCAGCAGGAGAACGGCGTGGGACCCCAAGAGCCGCAGGTGCCCACGGAGGACCGGGACCAGGACCAGGGGCAGACGGGCAGCGGGGCCCCGGAGCAGCCTGCCTCGCCCAGCCCCCCGCCGGACGGCGGCGCTGCTCAGACAAGCCCGGCGGCGGAGAGGAAGGAGAGGGAGCAGGCCGCGGGCAAGGGCCTTTCCCGCTTCCTGCCCGCGTGGCTGAGGAAGCCGAAATCCCCGAGCCAGGCGGAGCCCACCGAGAGCTCGCCCGCAGAGGAGGACGGCGGGGAGGGAGGGGAGCAGAAGCAGAAGTCTCCTCCTCCGTCTCCGTCGGCGCCGCAGCCCGAGGGCAAGGAGGAGCAGAGCGGGGAGGGCGCGGGGGTCCCGCCAGCTGAGGACCGGCACGAGCAGGAGGAGCTGAAGGCCGACGAGAAGGAGGAGAAGCACTCCATAAGCAGCGCCGAGACCCAGGTACCTGCCTTCCTCCTCACTCTTACACGGGTTCATTTTATTGGGTGCAGTTCTGACATGAACCATGAAGTTCTGACATGAACATGCTGTACAATGAGTAAATTAAATGCACTGCAGTGCAGCATCAGTGCCGCTGTAGGTGCAGTGTGAACAGGTGGGTCTCGAGGTGGTTAGGAGATGCAGTGTGAATGTGAATGGCTAACTGATTTTACCACAGGGGTCCAAGAATGGCTACTTAGCGAATTCTTCATCCTGGGTGGGCCTGGAGGAGACGGGGGTTATAGACTGGAGGGAAGAGAGTGCTGGAGAGTGGTAGCCAAGGGCAGGTTTATGGAGGTTTTGATAAGTCAGGTGGTGTGAATTCTAAGTAAGCCTGTGGGTTTGGAGCTTAAGCAGCTGATGGAGTGTTTCTGGAAATCGTATCTTTGAAAAGACAAAAACTTGAAACCAGGCGTTATATGGGATAGGTTGTTAAAAATGAGTCTGCATGTTTAGAAAAAGGGTGGAAGAGAGTTGTTAGGGAAAGAAACTGGAAACGGAAGAGGGCAAGCATCATGAGTGATACCGAGATTCTTTCCTGTAGCTGGAATCCCATCATGCGCAATTTATCATCACAGTCTGTTTAAAGATTAAAAAATGTAAATACAAATGGTTCTGTTGATAAATACCAGTTAAAATCTGCTGTCATTATGATATTAGTAGAACGTTTATGCAAACATTGCTACCTCTTGAATCCTAGCAACTCTGATCCATGGGTTTTGCAGTGCTGGTGAGGTGTAGAAGACAAGTCAGTGGACTTGATGACCTCTCCACCTGGCACGCGTGCAGGCTCAGTTTGGGGCACTGAAATATAGGAGTCAAATTAAGCCAATTGCTGGAACCATGGGTGTTATTTTACATTTTTTGTAGATTTATTGGGAAAATTAAAAAAAAAATAAGGGGCTTATATTCACAGTGTACTTTGATCTTGAAACTTCTTTGTCATGACGTGAGACATTATTTTTATATACAAACTAATGGTGGTGCGAAGTATTGGAGAAACTTTAAGAGTACTTCAGCAGCATGCATCTAGTTAATTATGTTAACGGCCTGTTTCCGGCTATATAATAGAATACATGGAGCTTGAAGTCTGGTGAAACTCAGATAATTGGAAAACAGAATTTATCCTGTGGTAGAATTTGCACCTAAACATTTTTAATTTCCGCTAGATACGTAATTCTAATTAGGGTACATATTGTTATTATTATTATGGTTGTTATTGTTATTATTATTATTATTATTATTATTATTATTATTATTATTATAATAAAGTACTGTGTTACAAAGAATGAGAAGCGCAACAATTTTAGGTCCCTGAGCTCACATGTATCTATCTAAAGGGTTCTAAATTATTAGATAAGTATTACCTTTTCTTTAAAGCCACCCTGAATATATTTTTAAAACTATTAAAAGTTTTATTAAAAGCACAAATAAAATGATTGTGAAGAATTCAGTTTCCTTAAGCTTTACAAATTCTCATGGCAGGCATCCGAAGTTTCTGTACTTATTGAGACAGATTGTTTTTATTTTCCAAGTTGATCCACCCAATGACATCACTTCTACGGTGATTAAGCAAAAATAAACTTTTATTAATGCTCAGAATGTTGTGTGGCAGTTTATGAAATCATATTCTGCAGATTTCTGGACAGTTCACCTTGAGAGTTGATGTGCAAGACCATAGACCATATAAAAACATATGGAGCATTACTGAGAGACGGGTTCAAAGTTCCTCAAGCTGTGACAGGAGATCACATGCTGTATTATTATTGTTATAACCACATACATTAATAGTAATGCAAATTGATTTTTAATAAAGCTTTTCCCTTTTTTAAACAAATTTTAGCCTGCAAAGGAGGAGAGGAGAGAAGACACTTTGGATAAGGATACAGATTTGAAGGAGGAGGTGAAGGACGTTGGTGGAGACAAAAAACCAGAGGAGCATGCCCAGAAACCTGCCCTGAACGCTGACAAGCCTTCGGTAAAGCCGCCCAAGAAAATGAAGATGGTCACATGCAAGGTCACCCTGCTGGATGGCACAGATCACCCCTTTGAGATTGAGGTAAGGTTAATTAGACATACATGCTTTGCTGTCTCATGTGACCTCCAGGTAAACTGAGAGATCACCATTTCCATTTGCTGTTGAACACTTTAACAACTGTTTAAGTGTTCATACCTCCTTTTAAAAAATAGTAAAACACGAATAAATATCTTTTTTAAATCAAGCTACAGTTATTTGTCAGCATTAGGGTCTAGTTTTCGACCAGGGGTCACACTGTGTGAATGAAGAAAATCCATCCGCCCACCCATCCTTCTTCATGATTCGTGGCAAGGGTTGTAGAACCTGTCCCAGAAGTACTGGGTGCAGTTTTTACGTGAGAAGAGCACATAAGCACATGATGACAATGTACAAGCTGTGGTATTACACGGGGGGGCGTGGTATGTGTGGAGGCGGAGCCCCGGATTAAGGGCGACGTGTTGCTTTAGCAACTGTAGCTGTCCTGGCTGATTAAGGACGAGCTGCAGCTGTCAGGGCCCTTTAAGGCACACTGAGCTCCTCCCCGGAGGGACAACAGACCCCGCAAGGGGAGGACCTTCCAGCAGCAGTGTTGGAGGCGATTGTGACCGAATATAAGGCCGTTGTTTTTCCTTCATTTTCTTTTCTTTTTGCCGTGCATCTCCACTGGGGCGGGCTGACCCCTTTTCACAGCTGGAGTTTGTATTTTGTTTTGGCCGTGCGCTCCCTGCTCTTCCAGGCTGGACATGGCTAAATAGGGTAAGCCCAGTCTGGATACCGCTGCGCTAAGCGGGTTCTTTTTCCGAAGCTGGACCTCATTAGATAGCGTAAGCCCAGCCTGGACACCTCGCTGTACAGCGGCACATTTTCTCTATCCTTTTGTTTTATCCCCCCCCCCCCCCCCCCCGCCCCCCATCTGCGTAAAGCACTGTCGTATGGCCCTGACACCAATCTCTCCCCCCCCAGAAGGGTCATCAACTTTACCGGTGCTCGCCTCGGCTCCTCCCACTCCCACATTGTTACAGAGCTGTGTAAAAAGAAGGAGACGGGGCCAGTACCTCTTCTTTATTTAGCGAGTACTCGGTGATGAAGTGGGGAAGTTTTGGGAGAAGGTTACTCATTTGGCTGGCACGGTGGCGCAGTAATTAGCATTGCTGCCTCGCAGGACCCTGCCTCTGGGTTCAATTCCAGACCTGGGGTGCTGTCTGTGTGGAGTCTGTATGTTCTCCCTGTGTTTGTGTGGGTTTCCTCTGGGTGTTCTGGTTTCCAGAGATATAGTAGTAGGTTTGTTAGCTTCTGGGAAATTTCGCCTGAATGTGTGTGTCTGTCTGTGTGTGCCCAGCGATGGACTGCCTTGTGTCCTTTACTTTCCAGGACAGACTCCCACTCCCCTGTCACCATGTATGTGATAAAGCGGATAGAAAATGGATGAATTGAATGAAGAACAATAGTTATACAGTATCTGTTTCTATGGACACCTTCTGTGTGTAATAGCAGTTTTCTGCTGCAATGTTAAACAAACTATCAGAATTCAAACATTTATAAGGTCGATTCTGAATTTTAACCCAGTGTGTGAGAGAAGGCTTGACTTATTTTATAATTTGGAGTAAGGGGAAACAATACCAGAAAGCGTTTTTACCCAGAGAATTTGTGGTCCGTGGGTATGACCACATGTTTTGAAATTGAATTGCTTTTTTCTGTTCTTGTTCCAGGCAGGAAGGTAATGAAACGTACATCACTGCGTGCATTTCTGTGCGAGTTAAAGTAAAGCCATGTGACTTAGAGTTTTACCAGTAATCTTTCAGTGGGTCTGTCAGCGTCGGACACAAGGTGATGATATTGAGATTAAGCCATCGTGCTGGAATAATATAATAATGGGAGATGTAATTAGGTACAATAAGTGGAAAAATGACGATCCCTTGAGATGATAGGTCATTCAAATCCCAGCTGTGTTCCGGCAGAGCTCTCAGCTTGCACTGGATGTGATTGGTGCCCGATAAATCAAGATGACGCTTTGCCAACTTCAGACAACAGTAATAGCTCAGCACTCTGCAGGGGCCTGTCTGGCGGCTGGTGTTGTACACTCTGGGCAAGGAAGTTTGCCAGAGGCTGGTGTAATCAGCAGATTAATATGCTATTTTATGCCCACCACTGGTAATCAGATGAGACAAAATATTATTTGTTAACGAAAAATAATTTTCTTAGTAATAAGGTATTGAATGTGTACATGACTTCTGAAATTTCAGCCTCTCAGTAGCATTGACAAGTCAACATGAAAGTGTGTTATTCAGTTTGGTTAATAGTGTTGAAAGACAGGGCAATACAGAGGAAGCATTGCTGCTTGGTAGCACTGGGACTCGGGGGGGTTCAGACCTGTGGTGCTGTCAGTGTGGAGTCTGTATGTTCTCCCTCTGTCTGGTTTTCCTCCCACAGTCCAAAGTCATACTGGTAGGTTAATTGGCTTCTGGAAAATTGGCCCCACTGTGTGTGTCTGTGTGTGCCCTGTGATGGACTGGCGTCCTGTCCAGGGTGTACCCCGCCATGTGCCCTTTGCTTGCCAGGATAGTCTCCGGCTCCCCGTGTCCCTGGAAAAAGAGATTTCTACTCTGGATAAAGTGGATAGAAAATGGGTGGATGGATATTGAAAGTAGTGAATAAAACAAACGGACATTTTAAAAAAGAAGATGCAGCTTTGAAGCCTTTATTCACGTGCCCTGAAACAGGATATGAAACAACGATCACATTTTTCGGCTTCAAGATGAAACAGCGTGTATGATTAAAACTGGTAGAGAGACAAACAGTAGTTGCTGCCTACTATAGAATTTGGTGCTAAACGAAGGATTGGTTTTTTGGCAGTACACAGCCATACACTATTCTGAAAAAGTGAAGGTACTTTTGAAAAGAAGTACTATTTTCCTGTTCTTCAGTGTTGTACAGTCACCTCAAATTAGAGTTGGAGTATTAGTTCAGCAATAAGAACAGCAGGTTCTGACATTAACGCATGGTCGCAATGAAATTAATGGGTCACAGGTTCAAGACTACATCCAGAATAAATGCACTGTGCAAGATGATTCAAACTCAAGGGAAAAATGGTGGTGATGGTCAGCTGTGATTTGGAGAGGTAAGTGGATTTGCAATCATTTGTATTTAAGAGGTTAGTACTATATTATTTAATGGCATTTCTGAACGCTCATGTTCTCGTGCACTCTGGGTATCCAGGTCAGCTGCATTTTAAGGTCATTTGAAAGCAGCAGCACCTGAAAAGTTAGTTAGTCTAGTTAAGGACGGGAACCAGATAGAGTGTGAATAACTGAACTGGAACAAAATCCTGTAGACACTGGCCCCCCAAGTTTAAATTTTATGTTGTGGAGTTCTTTTTATTGCACATTAAAATTGTACTGAGAACTCAAATAATGAGTTTCTACATTTCAGCTGCTATTTCACTACATTCTTCATCATCTTAGAATGTTTGAGTCTTTGTACCATCCACTGTGTATTTCTTACTGTCACTTGCGTATTGTTGGACGTGTGTGAATATATATCTCTTTTTTGCTTACTTGGACCATAGCTGTTTTTTGTTTTGGAGTCCAGAAACTGAAAAGCATGTGCAAAAGTGTCCATGCTTTGCATGTTTCACCATACGCAGAATACTGATGACAAACATTTCTCCAGCACAGATTCTGAGCTGCACAGTGCGGAGCACAGTGTGAACAGTGCAAGCTTTGTCTTCTGTGGTACAGCTGAGGCATCGGTAAATACAATTGTTAGAGGGTATTCATCCAGAAAATGTGGCATTTTTAGTAAGATGTGTAACATTTGTAGTTTTCTGTAATATTTATAAGGTGTAAAAAAGCTATTGTTCTTCCTTATGTGCTTTATCTTTATAGTAAATTCTAAAAGGAAATACAAGAAATGTGTTGGAGTGGGAGCTCCAAGCCCTTATTTTGTCTGTTCGGTGAATTTGTTTTTTTTTCACCCCCACAGTAAAGAACATTTGTGGTTCTTTAAGGAACTATTAAAACTGACATTGCTGTATTTAGAACATCGTTCCTTCTAGCATTTAAAAATAAAAGTCGAACCAGTTTCGTTTAGAGCGGTTGTTTGCGTGCGAAACTCATTTTTGTTTGTGCTGAACCTGCTCTTGGGTTTCAGCTTGAGAATCCAGCTCTGCCTTTTTTCCCCTCCCTTGACATGTAGCTGCCAGTGCCGGCTCACGCAATTAGTACCCAGTGAGGCATGGTTGTCTCTCAGACCAATTAGAGCACGAAGGCACACGACTCTGGAGGCCTGTCTCCCGGGCCTGGTGGGGACTGGGACCTGCATGGCCGTCGCAGCAGTAGGAAAGCTGTGGAAAATGACTCTGCCTTGTGCCTGTAGTACATGGCAGAGAATGTAGCATATTGTGGTGGTGCTATTGCAGCCACATTACTTTCTGATGTGGACAGATGTATACGTGACCTTTTTTTTTTTTCCCCAAAAAAAAAGTTTTTTTTCATTCATAAAAAGCCGTAATATAGGAATTTGGAAATAGTCTTAATAGTCCATGAGTCTGTTTGTGTATCTGTACACTACACAATGTTATCTTCTGTCCTGTAGGACAACCTATTTATAAGGGGACTGTATTGAGTTCTATGCGGGCCATGTGCTGTAGAAAGGTTTCTTAGTTCAAGCTCTAATCTTATTATTAAAGATCACTATTCTAAAATAATGACTATGACATATCTGTACTGCTACTATTGCTGTGTATTTGTAGAAAAAAATGTTTAAAAATAGTGCCAGAATAGCTACATATTTTTTGGAAAATATTTGCTGGCAGGTAGGATATTTAAATAAAAAAATGGGTACAAGTGCTGACAGCTGCTCTTGACCCCAGATTTGAAATGCTTGACATCTAATGTGTGCAGGAGTTCAGTACTTATGTCTGATGCCCAGCCAGTCCCAACAGGTCTGCACAGAGAAAAAAAAAAATTCTGTTGCTGTGGAATGGCAGGTTGAAGCAAGAGGCAATACAGAAACCCGAAGGTCAAATCAGATGAAATAATGAA